GACTCCATCTGGAATTAACTAAAACCCACGTGGCTGGATAAACCTATGAGGGATTTCTTTCTTTTCTTTGTTTTTGTTTTTTTGTGACAGGGTTTATTTTGTGTAGGCCTGGCCAACCTGAAACTCACTCTGTATGTAGACCAGGCTGGCCTCAAGCTCATAGAGATCTACCTGCCTTGGTTTCCCGAGTGCTTGGATTAAAGGTATGAGCCACCACTGCCCAGTGGGGATTTTTTTCTTAATTAAATCATTTGAAATGGCAAGACCCACTTTTAATTCCGATCTTCTGAGGTAGGAAGATCCACCTTTAATCTGGGATATGTCTTCTTCTGGGAGCCTATGCCAAGGACATGGAAGATGGGAGCTTGCTCTCTTGGCCTGCTTCCTTTCTGTCGCAGAGTCACACTCAGACCCTTTAGCCATCTATCACAATGCCCATGAGAAGTCATTTCCATTTCTGAGGAGCTACTATTTTAAATATCTTCCTAATTCCTTTTATCTCTACTCACTGTTTACTTGGTTCAAGACTAAATGTGAATGTCTAGGCTTCATGTCACCTGAGTGAAGACTGGTATACTGGAATATGCAGATATGTCTCTGTTCATGCATGACATAGCACAACACAGTTCCCAACTCCCTTTTCAAGTTGGGTCTCCTGCAGGTACTTGGTCTCAGACACCTCTATTAACCTTGTTGCTCAAGCTGAAAAACCTGAGCTTTTACCTGATTCTTGTTGGGCACACCTCATTAACAACTCCTTTTGGCTCTAAGAAACTAGCTAGAATCCTTCGAATTTTCATTATTCTGGCCCCAAATTCCAGATTCTTATCTGTTGCTACAAATGCCTACACTTCATTCCTTCTCTCTCCAGTCTGATTTCTAGCAGCAATCATTTTTTCAAAGTATGATATCAGTCCTCAGCCTAAAACCCTTCCAGTGGCTTTCCAACATTAATGGGAATAAACACCAAATTCTTCAGTTACCTAGCATGCAGTGGTGGTGCACGACTTTACTACTCCCAGGACTCCAGAAGGCAGAGGCAGGTCAACGTCTGTGAGCTTAAACCAGCCTGTTCTACAGAGCTGATTCCAGGACAGTGAGGGCTGCTACACAGAGAAACCCTGCCTTGAAAAACAGAAAGAAAGAAAGAAAGAAAGAAAGAAAGAAAGAAAGAAAGAAAGAAAGAAAGAAAGAAAGAAAGAAAGAAAGAAAGAAAGAAAGGAAGGAAGGAAGGAAGGAAGGAAGGAAGGAAGGAAGGAAGGAAGGAAGGAAGGAAGGAAGGAAGGAAGGAAGGAAGGAAGGAAGGAAGGAAGGAAACCCTGATACTCTCCTCTCTCACCCACTTTTACTTTCTAACCCACATTGGAGCACAGGACTGAAATCTCAAGGTCCAAATAAGGAGCAGAAGGAGAGAGAGCACGAGCAAGGAACTCAGGACCGCGAGGGGTGCACCCACACACTGAGACAATGGGGATGTTCTATTGGGAACTCACCAAGGCCAGCTGGACTGGCTCTGAAAAAGCCTGGGATAAAACCGGACTCTCTGAACATAGCGGACAATGAGGACTACTGAGAACTCAAGAACAATGGCAATGTGTTTCTGATCCTACTGCACGTACTGGCTTTGGGGGAGCCTAGGCAGTTTGGATGCTCAACTTACTAGACCTGGATGGAGGTGGGAGTTCATTGGACTTCCCACAGGACAGGGAACCCTGATTGCTTTTCGGGCTGAGGGGGGGTGACTCAATTGGGGGAGGGGGAGGGAAATGGGAGGCGGTGGCAGGGAAGAGACAGAAATCTTTAATAAATAAATAAATTAAAAAATTTTTATCATATATGCTTGTGCACACACATGTGATGGTCACTCATGGAGATCAGAAAACAACTTTGTGGAGCCAGTTTGCTCCCTCTTCCTTTACCTGGGTTCTGGGGACTGAACTCAGGTTGCCAGGCTTGTTTGGGAAGCGCCTTTACCTGTTAGGACATCTTGCTTGCCCCCAATTTTAAAATAAACTCACCATACTGCCTCATCTAACTTCTCTCGCCTCCCATTTAGTTATGTTAACCTTGCTGCTACTCGACTAGTATTTCAAGAATCCTCCCAAAACATAAACCTTATACTTAATTATTCCCTCTGCCTGGATAATGCTTCCCTAAGGAATGTCTTTATTCAAATATCATTTCATTAAGGAGGTTAATTCTGCTTTCCCTAACGAAATGCATCCCTGTTATTTGTTTCTGTCAACTCGAATGGGCATAAGTTGTACAAATATATCATGTCCATGACCCTGTTTTTGTATTAAAATAACAGTTGAATTGGTAGACTGAATAAAGCAGATTGGCTCTCTAATGTGGGTGAGCCTCATCTGATGAAGATGAACACAAAATACGGGATGATCCTTCTGGCAGCAAGAGACTGGCCTGACTGACCTAAGTGGGGATAGCCATCCTTTCTCTTCCTGTTTTACACAACACTGGCTTTCTTGGGCCAGTATTTACATTTGCCAGCATTTGGACTAGATCTTACGCAACCAATCCTGTTGTTTCCCTAGCTTTTGTATTAGACAGAAGGTTAGGTATTTGAGTCTCAATGGACTTTTATGTTGGACCCCTTCTTCATAGTCAACAACTTGGAAAATAAAATATCCAGAAAAATTATCAGGATTTTAATAGTTGTCAGGAAAATTGGATCCAAGTCATATCCCTCACTGTATAAAAAGTTAAACAGATAACTTTTTAAACCTGGTGCCAGGACCCCTAAACCTTATGTGATTACTGATAAAGAAGGATGTGTCATTCCCCGTCTAGGAAGACATAAGCTGTGGTGGTTTGAATGAGAATGGCCCTTATAGGCTCATGCTTGAACACTTAGTCCCCAGTTGGTGGGATTGTTGGGAAAGATTAGGAGGAGGTGCTTTGAAGCTCTCAGGTGCTGCTCCATTCAACATGCATGTTGCTTGCTGTCCATGCTGTCCTACCATGATAGTCATAAAGTCAAGGAAATAAAATGCTTCCTTCTATAAATTACCTTGTTCATAGTATTTTATCACAGCAATGAACAAGCAACTAATATATAACCCAAACAAGCCTATCAGTCACTTGGACAGGACAAAGTCCCTCAGGAATAGCCACTTATTCTAGAGAAATACTTAAAATATAGTGTTTCATCTGCCTAAATTGCATATCAAGGTTGAGTCTCCCCGGCCATTGTTTGTCCTTGCCCCATGACTGTATACTCTAAACTAACTTTGTCTTGTCTGACTTTGACACTACACTTTGTGTTTTGCCTGAATTCTTTTGATGGAGATAATAAGGGTCTGGGAGATAAAAAGAGTCCAGACCAAGATCCTTGATACATGTGAACTCAGACTGAGACATGATTGGTTGGCTATTCTGTGTCTCATTTGCCAACTACAGATCCCTGGGATTTCTCAGATTTCCATAATCACATGAGCCAACCCCTATATTTATGCACTCATGCGCACAAGCGCCAGCATCCACACACATACCCAAGACATCCCACCTCTTTTTCTCTTGAGAAGGCCCAATATATTTTCATTTATTGCTTTAACGGGTTATCAGGAATTTGGTAGCTTGACATAATAGAAATTTATTATAGTTTTGGAGGTCAAAAGAACAATTTGTTTCATAGGGCTAAACTCCAGGTGTCAACATGGCTATTTTCTTCTTAAGGCAGCTGGGGTTCTAGAAGCCATTTCATCCCTGTCAGTTCCTAGTGGCTCCACAATAGGCTTGTGGCGACCTGCTTTCACCTTTTAAATTTTTTTATTGATTATTTGGGAATCTCACATTATACACCCCAACGGTGCTCACCTCCCTGTCTTCCCATGTCTGTCCCCCACCCCCACCTCTTACCCTGCCTCTAGGAAAAAACAAATCTGTTTTGTGTTGTCCATATATCACTGGTGCATGGTCAAATTCCTAGTGGCCACCTGCTTCCAATTTTAACAGTGATTTTTAGTCTTTCTCACAGTCTCTTTTGGTACTGATTGTCCTGTCATCCTCACCCAAATTTAAAGTGTCCTTATATGTGGTGCTACATGGATCATGCAGGAAAATCTTACTTCATTGAAAGGCAGCTGATCAGTAGCTTTAATTATGTAGGTAACCTTAATTTCTCCTTGCTAGGTAATATATGAACAAATTCAAGGAATTAGAAGTGGGTAACTATACTGCCTACCTCAATGCCTTCCTCCAACACTGTTGTAATTTTCTTCATAGTACATTTGTCTCCCAATAAAACATACATAATTGGTTACTGTCCATTTCCTTTATTTAAATAAAGAGCCCATGGGTTCAAGGGGTTTGTTTTGTTGACCCCTGTGTCTCAGGCTCTGAAGGTATTATTTGAACCATAATAAATTGTGGACTAAATTTCTGACTAAAATAATAAGGCTTGCAATTTTGTTAGTAAGCATTCCTGCTTCAAAGAGAAGTCAGGAATTTAAGTAGGAAATCATAAAGCTCTGTTTTGCAAAGTACTGTTTTTGGAGACCTAAAACAGATACACATCCCTCCTTTAAAGGGGCTCTAGGGAAACAGAGACTATAATCCTTCACAATAGCAGTTAAGGGAAAACTTAAATATTGCAAAATTGTCCTGGCACTCAGGGATTTTACCAGTTATACCAGCACTGGAAATTTTCTATCAAGATCAGGTCAGGATTACTAACATAGATTTTCCAACTGCTGTCAATCCATAAGGTATAGATAAGTTATTTTTTAAATATTGATTTCACATAATTATTCTGTGCAGTAGCTTTTTGTGTTTTTCGTTTTACTATAAAATTCATATATCACAGATATCAGACATTTAAAGTCTTTTCTAGTACTTGGTGCTAAAATTCTGGCTACATTCTAAATTTTATTTTAAACTTTTTTCCAATAAGCAAATTCTCTTCTCTAGAATAAATGAAACTTTAAACTCTTAGTGTAAAATTCAAGATATGAGAAAAAGAAACACAGACACTGAAATCCCTAACAGCAAACATTTATTTACAATCCAAGTTAAGGAATGCATATATTTATATATGTGTGTATATACATACACACACACACACACACATATATATATATATGATTTTTTGAGACAAGATCTTGATATATATATATATATATCCCTGGCTGGTCTAGTCCTCCCTATGCAGACAAACTGGCCTCAAACTTGCAGCAATCCTCTTGTCTCTACTTCCCAAATGCTGGGATTATAGGCATGAGCTACCATGCCTGGCTGAGTCACGGAATATTTTTAATGCATGCTGAGAAAACAGTAATACTTCAAACTTACATGTATATATTTGATAATGAATACAAGAGGATGCTTGGAAGGACTTTGGCATACACTATTTAAAGCAGGTTATCGGAACACAAACACCATTAGAATCATGTTATCAGAACACTTACATATATCACCTACATATATGTTACACCAACTTCATGGACACCCCATCTTCTAACTCCTCACTGGCTATTTGAATAAATAGCATTCAAAGTTAAATGGTAAGACTGGGGAGTAGAGAAGAAATACAGAAGTGTTAAGCATCACAATATTTTAGAGTCTACATTTATGAATACAACAATAAAATTAAGAAACAGTGTTTCAATTTTAGTGTGGGAAACAATATTTGGCAATGCTTAGTGCATGAGAAGACACTGTTTTGGTCCATCCACTCTTTCCAGCTTTTCAAAGTGTTTCCTGGCATTGCGGATGTTGATCAGAGTAGCTGCAGAAGCTGAGGGTGGGGAGTGGGGAGACACCCAATAGATTAAGAAGAGCAGTCAAAAAAGCAAATAAATTAAAAGATCCAAATCCTTCAGTGTATGCCAGAGAAACTTACAGGAGCAGGAAGCCTTAAGTTATGAAGATTTGATATTTCTAAAGCAGATTTTCACATATCCTAAACATAAAATTTCACAATCTTTTGGTTTGAGACTAATAGAATAGACCTCAAGAAATATCTGATGCTACCTTTAAATATTAACATAAAATAGATAAAACCAGAAGACAGATAATGTAAACATGTGGGAATATTCTGGAAACACTGAGAACCTTTAGTCTAATGGTTGTAGCAAACATGGCTTCCATGACATGGAAATAAAAAATACTACCCCCTAATGCTTATAACAGAAATATACAGCCGTGGAACATGGAGTTCACCTTTAATAACTTAGAGGTTACATGGCTAGTATTTTAAAAGTTCTGGGATCCGGGTTCTTTTTTTTTTTTTTTCAAACTCCGCAATTAGTAATTTGCTGTGATAGTCTGAATGTAACTGGCTCCCATAAGCTCACAAGGAGTGGCACTCCTGGGAGGTGTGGCCTTTTTGGAGGAAATGTGTCACTGTGGAGGCAGGCTTTGAGGTTTCCTATGCACAGGAAACCACCTAGTCAACTTCCTGCTGTCTTCTGGTCAAGTTTAGCCAGCTCCATGTGTGCCTGCGCGTTGCTATGCTACCCATCATGATAATGGACTTAACCTCTGAAACCGTAACCCACCACTTCAATTGAATGTTTTCTTTGTAAGAGTTGCCATAGTCAAAGTGTCTTTTCACAGCAATAAAAATCTTAAGAAGCCTGCTTTCTTAAATTCTCATTAAGCAAAACATAATACATGAGAAAAAATCATTTTCAGTTCTAAAATGTAAGCTTATTAAATAAAATTATTTAGAACTACTACTACCACTACTAATTTCTTTAACTGTAGCTTTAATATGTACATTATACATTGTATATGTATATGTAAAATTTACCACACTTACCATTTTTAAATGAATAGTGAGATTAAGTGACTTAGATATTCTTATACAATCACCCTCATCATAAAATAATTATTAAATATTTAATAAAGTACTGTCTCTTCAGCCTTTATTTAAAAATTATGAGAGGTTTAAACTATGTCAGACAAGTTTAAACTTACGAATGGATGGATCAGACATCACGACCATGACGTAAGTGTTGGATGTGAATATGTCAATGAAAGCAGCAAAGTTAGAGTTCCTCACTTCCATACTCTGGAAAGAGGCAGCCAGCTTGCTATAGGAGAAAGGAAAATGGTGGTTAAAGAAAAGACTAAAATAAGTTGCCCTTTATTATATTAGAAAGTTTTACAGTACTATATCTCATTTCATCGTCTTGAAGTTTCCAAGGAAACTGTACTGATGAATCAACATGTTTAGAGAGTGGCTAGACTGAAAACCAGGATATGGATTGATAAAGACTAAAAAGTGAAAATGAGCTTAAAACTTGACATATATTGCAAAGTATTCCCAAAGACTTTCTAATACTTCTCCTAATTAGCAGACAATAATAATAATGGGTTGCATCATGTCATTTTCTCTCTCTTTGTTCTTATTTACCGCCCCCCCATTCTCCTAAAACCCTCTCCCCTCACCACTGCTAGTTTCCTTATTCCCAAAGTTGTGCACCTATGTATTTTCAAGTCATGTGCATCATATTTCCCTCTCTTCTCTCTAATACAACTTAAGATATCTTCCTATTCTCTCATGATCCCATTTCTTATTTTTATGACCTGAATACGAAGACACAAATTTAAATGTAGATTCCTCATATGAGAGAAAACATGGTATTTTTGAGTAGCCTATTTCACTTAAACATATTATTACCTGTTCCATTTATTTTCCTGAAAATGTCACAATTTTCCTTTCCTTATGATGGATAATATTCCATACTGTATACGCACAAAATTTTCTTTATCCGTGAATCTGTTCATGGGTACCTAAAGCTGGATCTATTTTGAAGATACTGTTAATAGATCACCAATAACATGAATGTTCAATATCTCTGTACATATGGAGTCCTTTGAGTACATGCCAAGTATTTAGCTGAGTCATACAGAAGTTTTACTTATAGTTTTTTGGTAAATTTACATGATGGTTCCATAGTGCCTGCACAAGTTCATACCTTGTACAGTGTACAAGGACTTACTCCTCCTTCTGATGTGCTTCTAAATGTGTTGTCTTTGTTTCTTGATGAAAGCCAGACTGATTGTGCTAAGATGTGATAATGAAGATGTTTTAACTATCATTTACCCTCATGACTAAGGTAATAATTATTAGTCAAACAATTATTGGCCATATACATTTCTTCTGATAACTATGTAATTCATCTGCCATTTACTGATTGGGAGACTTTTTTAGATTTAGAGTTCTTAATAGATTCTAGATATTCATAATCTAATCTGACAGATTTTGTAAAGTTTTTTCAATGTGCTGTTTGTTACCTTTGCGATATAGAAACTTTTCAATTTCATGTAACACCACTTGATAAATCTTGGGATTACTTCTTGAGCACCTAAATTTGCTTTGAGAAGAGTCCTTGCCTATATCTTGAACTGTTTTGCACTTATTTTTACCTAGTTGTTTTAGAGTTTCAGGTCAATAACAACTTTGATCACTTTTATTCTGCAGGGCAGGAGATATAGGTCCACTCTTATCCTTCTACATGTGAATATCTAGATGGTTTTCCCCAGAAGCAACTTCTGACATTTCTGCCAAAATTAGGGGCCTGTGGTAGTAGTGTTTATTTCTGTATCATCTATTCTATTTATCCACACATCTCCTTTTCTCGTGTGTGTATTCCTAAATATAAAAATACAACCTGTTCAGTCTATATAATGACTACTATTTTAATACTGATTTAGTATCCTGTTAATTTGTTGAATATGTTGATTAGCTACAGGTTTGACACACATAACCCTTATTATGTAGAGTTACATTTTTTTAAAGACAGGGTTTCTCTGTGTAACAATTCTTTCTGTCCAGAAACTCACTCTGTGTAACAATCCTGTCTGTAGAAACTCATAGAGATTGGCCTGCCTCTACCTCTCAAGTAGTGGGATTAAAGGCGTGTGCTGCCACCATCTGGGGAGATACATTATTTTTATTTCTAGTTTTATCAGGCCTTTATCATGAGAAATTGCTAAACCTTGTCAAAAGCCTGTCCTGCATCTAGTAATATGCGTTCTATCTGTATGTTCATTTATGTATTATATTATACTTATTGAGTACCATACATTGAACCAACTTTGAATCTGTGGGACGAAAGCAAGTTGGCCATGGTATATAGTCTTTGTTCCATAATTTAGTTTTCAAGTACTCTGTTGAGTTTTTGCATCTATGTTCATCAGGAAAATTGATCTGGGTTATTTCTGGTGTGCCCTTACTGGGTTATGGTAACAACATAACTCCTTCATAGAATTAATTTGGTAGTATTCCTTCCCTTTCTGTCTCATGGGACAGATTATTAGGTATTAGATTTACCTGTTTCTTAAACGTTTGGTAAAACTCAGTAATCCACTTGATTCTAGGCCTCTTTGTGGAGAGACATGTTTAATTAGTACTTCAGTCTAGCTACATGATATGGTTCTGAGGTATTTATACCTTTTGTACTGAATTTAGGTAGGTTATAGATATTTAGGAATCTATCCATGTCTTCCAGGTTTTTCAGGGGATTTTTTTAATATAAGTATTCAATGTGTTCCCTAATAATTTCCTAGATTTAACTAGAATTTGCTGCAACATCACCATTCACAGCTCTGATTCTATTAATTATTTCTCTTCTGTTTAGTTTAGCTATAGGCTTATCTCTCATGTTTAGCCTTATAAGGAGGCATCTTGTTGCCTGATTCTATGTATTTACCTTTTAGTCTCGATTTTCCTAACTTTTGCCCTGATTTGTATTATTTCTTGTCTCCTACTTTAATAAATTTAATTTATTTAAATTTAAGGTTTGGTTATTCTCTCCTCCCTCCCTCCCTCTCTGTAGCTTTGGCGCCTGGCCTAGAACTAGCTCTTGTAGACCAGGCTGTCCTTGAACTCACAGAGTTCTGCCTGTCTCTGCCTCCAGAGTGCTGGGATTAAAGCTGTGCCACAACCGCCCAGCTTGTTCGCCTTTTTCTAAGACCTTAACGTACACCATTGTTATTTGAGATATCTCTGATTTTAATGTAAGCACTCATGGCTTATAAACTTTTCTCTTAGAACTGCTTTAGCTGTATACCACAGATTATGGTAAATTACACAATCCTTTTCACTTGATTCTAAGAATTTTTAAACTTCCTCTTTGATTTAGTCTATCATTGTATATTTAGGCATGTTATTTTCTACAATTCCTTTATGTTTCTGTTATTTGCCTTTCTAGTTTTAGTCCCATTATAATCTGACAAAATAAAAATAATTATTTGAACTCTTTGGTTAAGGCTTATTTGGTAGCTTATGTGATCAAATTCAGAGAAAGTTTCATGGACTGCAGAAACAAATGTGTATTCCATGGACGTAAGATGGACTATTCTGCAGACATCTATAAAATCTATTTAATCTGTGGTAGGGTAGAGCTCTGACATTTGTTAGTTTTCACTTTGGATGACCTACCTAAAGCAGCATATTAAAATCAAAAGTATCAGGACCCATCTGTGTTTTCATGCTGTTGTGTATTTGTTTTAGCAAATTAAATTCTGTTAACACTTGGTACATATACATTTATAACTGTTATAAATTCTTAATAAGTTGCTCCTTATATTACTATGTAGCTTCCCAATTTCTAATTTCCATTTGAAGCATACTTTATCAAGTATCAGAATAGCTGTGGTAGTTTATTTTCTGCTTCCACTTGCTTGAGGAGTTGACTTCCATTCTTTGCTACATGTGTATAGATTTCTTTGCCAGTGAAGTGAGTTTATTGTATGAAGCAGTTAAATGAGGAACTGAAGACACTTGCATTTAAGATTTACTATTTCCTACAGGGCTATTTTATTGTTTTAAATGTTATGGGTTCGTTCCCAGCTATCCTTTCTGCATTTTTTCCTATGAAATTTAGTTTTTCCTGTAATTTTATGATGGGAACTGTCTTTCTACTGTACTGTAGTACTTTCTTATATTTTTTAAAGTGCTCATATGGTAGTCATTAACTACCACAGTTTTTACTTATTGTGAAATGTTCTTATTTTATTAATTTAAAAAGGTAGGTTTCGGGCTGGAGAGATGGCTCAGCGGTTAAGAGCATTGCCTGCTCTTCCAAAGGTCCTGAGTTCAATTCCCAGCAACCACATGGTGGCTCACAACCATCTGTAATGAGGTCTGGTGCCCTCTTCTGGCTTTCAGGCACACATGCAGGAAGAATATTGTATACATAATAAATAAATAAATAATTAAAAAATATTTTAAAAAAAAAGGTAGGTTTCCTGGACATAGCAATTTTAGTTGTCAGCTGTTTGGTTTCAGGGCTTGAAACATATCATGTGATGTTTTTCCATCTTTAAAGCTCAGTTATATGCAATTTTATGTTATTCTGATGTTTGCCCTTGTTGGAGGTTTGACATTTTCTCCTTGCAGCTTTTAATGTTGTTTCTTTGTTTTGTATTTTGGGTGATTTATCATGCTAAGGCTCTTCTTTGGTCAAGGATACTTGGGGTTGTAAATGCCTCTTGTGTCTGGCTGTCCATTTCTTTCCCTAGATTTTGGAAATTTTCTGTTATAATTTCATTGAATATAGTGGGAACTGAACTCAGGTCCTCTGCAAAAGCAACAAGTGTTCTTAACTACTGAGCCATTTCTTTAGCTGGATGCCCTAACATTTTATCTTAGCTCTTCTCGCAGATTCTTAGCTTTGGGCTCTTGAACATGACCTCATAATTTTTACAAGGTTTAGTCATGCTAAATTTTTTCTTTTGGTATTTTGAGACAGGGTTTCTCTGTAGTCCTAGCAGTTCTGGAACTTGTTCTATAGACCAGGCTGGCCTCAAACTCCCAAGTACTGGGATTAAAAAGATGTGTGCTACCACAGACTAGCTGGTCATGCTAATTTTGTGCATCTGTCTGTCTCTCTACCTACCTGAATGCAATTTATCCTCAAAGTTTTGTATTCCTTTTTTCTGCTTGGTTTTATGTGTTAGTAATCCTTCACACTGTATTTTGATAGAATTTTTTCTGAAGTTTAATTTTGTTCTTTTTCAGAATCTCAATTTCCTTAGTAAATATTTTCTACATTCTTTTTTTAAAATTTCTCCTCCACACTGCTGATCTTTCCATCCATTTTGACAACTTTCATATCTAGGCCCTAAATAGATTTCCTTACTTAAGTAATCCTGATTCTTGAATCCTCTATTTGAGTACTGTTATTTTTTAAAGCAGTACTCTGAAGTCCTTTTCTAAATTTCTGGTATTTCAATATCTTTGGTTTCCAGTACGGAGAAACTGTGTGCATCTGTACACATGAACACAGTGTCACAGTGGTTCATTCTCTCTCTAGTGATGCTTTGTTGTGTTTGTATCTGTTGGGTGTAGTTTCTAGTTTTCCTATTTCTTTCTTTTCTTACTGGTTTGGTTATTTTATGTGAGTCATCATGGTGAGCTGCCTTTACTTGGTATATACTTCACTTCTGGCCTTAAGGTCCAAGACAGAGGGACTAAGGTACTGTGGGGAAATGTACCTTAGTTGCTTATAGCTAAGGTATTTAATAACTAAAAAGTAAAAAGAGGAAAAGGTATGAAAAAGGGAAAAGAAAGAATAAAATATAATAAAGGGAAAGTACAGGGCTACAGGTATGAGAAACAATAGAGAACAGGTACAGAAAAAGTAAAGACTGTCATAAAAGCTTATTCTTACAAGATACAAATGAAAACAAAACTATTAAATAATTAAAATACAAGCATGTAAATTAACAAAATATAACACTAAATATAATATAAAATAACTAAAATGAGACAACAATTATTATAATGTTAGTATTTCTTCCTTTGGGATGAATATAGTTCCTCTCCACTTTGGTGGGCTCCTTTAGCTGTTTCTGTAGGTAAAGAGACAGCTGTTAGTGCCTGAAATTTAAATGCATTTTATGGGCATGGCTTCCCTGTTGCAAGGTGTTTCTGTATTGTACTTGCTTTCTTAGGAGTTTTGCCATCGTAAATAATCCATCTGGCAGCTACTGACTGATAATGGATTATTCCTGACCAGTTTCCATGAGGATCTATACTTGTATTTACTTCTGTCATAGGATCCATCTTCGAACCCAGATCCCTACTATGTATTTGCTAATGACCCATACATATTGCCCAAGAATATACTTGTGTCCATCTATAACAACATGCTAGGTCCAGCACAATTCCTTTGTGTTATTACATTATTACTATGTTACTCCATGTTAGTCACTCTGGGACTCTTGCTCCATATTCCTTTGTTGCATTTCTACCCTGCTATCCCTGGTAGTCTCAATGCTCATGGTGTATCCAGTGCCTAGTTGTGTCTCCACAGCTTGTCTATCTCCAGATAACTGTTCCTTTGACACCCATGCTCAGGATTGGACAGCTTCTTCCTGGTATTATCAGTGCCCTTATCCCAGTGGACGTAGTGTGCTATATTCTGGTATAGTTGTTCACTGTTTCTACTGAAGATAATTATTTCAATCTCAACTCAACTTATTTCTTTTCAATACCTCTCACTTCTCCTATATCAACACTTTTCAGCTGTTCTACTTTATGTTGGTCTCACCCTATTTCCTTCTTAGCAACAGTGTTTCTTTCTTTTTTAAAAGCCCAGGCTTTTCTTCTTCATAAGTTCCCCCCCTCCTTTTATAAACCTTGCTGGATATTCTCTACTTTTATTTATTAAATGGTATCAAATATCTCAAAAGGATACTTGAGTTTTTGTTTTGTGTTGTTTTTCAAGATAGGGTTTCACTGTGTAGCCCTAGCCATCTGGAACTTATTCCGTAGACCAGACTGGCCTCAAGCTCACAGAGGTCCATTTATGTCTGACTCCTGAGTACTGGGGCTTAAAGGTGTGTGCCATCATCACTGACAAGTATTTTTATACGGTTCTGTACAAGTTTGGGTCACATAATACATGGATTTGGGTTATTTTTCTTTTTTTTTCTTTTTTTTTAAATGTTTATTTATTTATTTATTATGTATACAATATTCTGTCGGTGTGTATGCCTGCAGGCCAGAAGACCCCATTACAGATGGTTGTGAGCCACCATGTGGTTGCTGGGAATTGAACTCAGGACCTTTGGAAGAGCAGGCAATGCTCTTAACCTCTGAGCCATCTCTCCAGCCCCATGGGTTATTTTTCTTTAAAATTCCTGAATTTAGTAACTTCCTCTCTGAAATTCCCATGAATAACATACTATACTTGCACTTTTTGAACTTTCCATGTTCAAAATATGACTATTATGCTTATATTGAAAAGACAATGGACTGCTCTCTAGTCAGTTGTAGGTTCTCTTAGAACTCAACATTTATCTGACTAAGCAAACTATTGTAAACATAAATGTACAGTCAATTTAAATTCTTTAAATTTCAAAAATGATAAATATTACCCAGAAATTAACAGCTAACATTTAAAGTCTCTCACCTACAGCTCAGCTTGAACTGTTTAATAATGTTGCTGATTTTCTCAAATCTGTGGGCATCACGCTGTTCTTTACACTGATAATGAGAAATGACCTGTGAAGAGAGAGATTGTGATTTGAATCCATGCAAATACCCACACCTCTGTTACTAATTAAAATAGACATCTATTAGTACTTTAGTCATCTTGGTTTTAAGAAGTGAGCTGTTACCTGGCATCATGTTTGTTGCCCTCTCTGTCCCACATCCTTGTCAACAATTTCCATATTCATTTAGATAACATAAACAGGATCATTTTGTTATGTTTATTAGATAACTTGTGTATTCTCCAGAAATGATTTTTGTCTCATGATGATATGACTTTTGACTGATCATGGTGGGTAAGCAATACACATTCCATAGAAATCATATTTTGAATTTGAATATACTGTACATATACTGTATTTGTACACATATTGTACAATACTCTTTTATAATATTGAACAGCACTAGTGAGCCATAGTCCCGATCTATGAAGATGAATTCCAAGATTATAAGAATAAAGAAGGGATCATTTTTGGAGCATTTGCATTGCTAAGATATAGTGTTGGGTAGGTTTTCAAGTTAAGAGTTTATCAGAGCATACCTTATCCTAGTCAAGGAGCATTCGGTGCTTTTCTCAATTACCTTAATCACTAAATTTTAGCTTATTAACATTTCACAAGATGGTCTTTGACTTAAAATGGTATAAATAAAGAGAAAATAAAATTATCTAGCTGCTCTTAGCTGTCTCTAACATAATTGTGAAGAAGTCTTTAGCAAGCGGCTGTTGGAATCACATTAAAAACCTTTACTAGATGAACCCAAGTACTGATATCCAAGTACTGACATAAATTAATGTACTCAGAACAAATACACCAGGTAAAAATACTTTTCAATTTTAATAAACCACGAGTACCCTAAGAGCTGAAAATACGTTGCAAATTTCTAGCAGAGGAAAATCCACCTCATTTGCCAAAAGAACATTGACATGAAAATTCTGACATGATGTTAAATATTTGAAATATAATTCTTAAACCAAAGATAGAAGAAGTACATGCATATATTCTCTTTTGCTCCCAATTAAATGTCAGGGTTTGTGCTGGCTGCTTACCATTACACTGTCCCATTTTAAAGCGCACAAGAAATCTATGATATAAGCAGTATATGCTGGTTTTACAGAAGAAGAAACAAACACAAAATGACTAAATCATTTTGTCTAAACTCACCTAGCACTGGTAAAGATCAAAAACTAAATTATTCACTGGGAGCTGCTTTGAGAGGTACATTAAATGAGTCTATTACCAATTATTCAGGAGATGTGTCTGTCAAATTAGCTTTTACAATTACTTTCCTTGGTTTTTTTGAGACATGGTTTCTTCATAGTCTTGGCTATCCTGGAACTCACTCTGTAGACTAAGCTGCCCTTGAACTCAAACATCTACCACCTCTGCTTCCTTAGAACTGGGACTAAAGGTGAGTGCCACTACTGCCCAGTGACCACTACTATTTTCCAAATGTATTCACTGTGCTGAAAAGATGGCTCAGTGATTAGGAATGCTTCTTGGTGTTCCAAAGGACAAAAGTTTGGTTCCCCACATCCATGCCAGGCAGCTCATAACTACCTGTAACTCTAGCTCCAAGAAATCTGAACACCAGCCGGGTGGTGGTGGCACACACCTTTAATCCCAGCACTGGGAGGCAGTGGCAGGTGGGATCTCTGTGAGTTCGAGGCCAGTCTGGTCAACAAGGGCTAGTTCCAGGACAGGCTCCAAAGCTACAGTGAAAACCTGTTCCAAGAAAAAAAATCTGAGTATCTTCTTCCAGACTTCATGGACACCCAACACATAAGTGGCAGCCCCCCCCCCCAAATAGAAATAAATTTTTAAAATATATATATATATATATAATATAGATTTTTGTATCACTGACTGATGCCTGTACAGCATACCCTGATATCATTGCTAAATTCAATTTATAAGAAAAGTGGTACTATTAATATTCCTCTTACCTGCTCCACTTCTCAATCTAAACTCTTAAGTCACTGAGTCTTTTACATGTTAGAAGTTTTCGTATTGTATCAATCTTTTTGATAAATGGGTGGGGAAAGAATTTTCTTAAAAGAAAAATGCACTGTATTTCTTAATAAAGCTCAGTAGGTAATAAGATTCCTTTATCATAGTTAAATAGTTATTAGTAGAACTAATCTAAATCTCTAATAAGGCATAGCTACAAAAATCTAAATTTTACTAATTATTAAAAGGTTACTTACCAAAGGACTTTTTCCACACCACTTGCAGACAATAACGCTTTATAAGACCATATATGCTTATATAAAAGGGGGTGTTTCTTCCTAAAAGTAGTGAAATCCTGTTCTCTGAATGCAAGAAGACTGCTTGAAATACATCTGTAGAGCAGAAAGTCCTTACCAGAAAGGTAGCTCTCTCAAACAGAAGTACTTCATCAGCCTCAATAATTTCAGCAAAATTTCGCAGGTTCATTTCCAGTTGCTGAACATTAGGAATCAGCTGATAAACAATACTGGACCAAGCCTAACAGGACAGAAGCACAATCAACTATTACTAACAGATAGAGAGTTCTAGGCCTTTGAAATGAGTAAGTACCCTACAAGACACAGACAGCAAAATACATTGGTAATTGAGTCCAAAACAAATACAGATGTTAAATATAACAAAAATCAAACAAACAAATTAACCTAATACTTGATTTGTATCCTTGAGTTGAATTTTTAGAGTTCAAACACTTGAAAAATGTCTTTCCATGAGTTAACAGGTAAATTAGTACCATCATGCAGCCTTAGGAAAAAAGTTGCAAAGTATGATCTATTGTGCTAAAACCATTCTACCCCAGACATCCAACAAATATTGAAGTCCAACATTATATACAGCTTTAAAAGAAGAAATAATGCTATATTCTGCATACATTCAAGAGCCAATTTGGTATCAGAGCCACAAAGACAAGTAGCCCCTCCCTTCAAAGATATAACATGTCATGATGCAAGAAACAACTGGGATTATAATTTTCAAATGTTTGGTCACATCTGTAAAAATTACTGATTCAATTGAATTTTCAAAAGTCTATCGTGTGACTGCCTGAAACTGAGTTAATCCGGGAGTATGACCAATGCATGCATACGAGATTAGTTTCACCCTCTGAGAATCCTCTTCAGGTGCTTGCATTCATACTTCTGTTAGAACACTTCCATTACTCTTACTATTTTTCTGGTTAGGTGTACTTTGTTCTTCTGTCTCCTCCTAAGACGTCAGGAACCTATCTTAGCCATTTGTGAATGTGACAGCATCCAATAGATAGACAATGAATGCTTGTTGAATAAAACAATATAAAAATTTAAGTCAGTTCTATGCAACATTGATGTAAGAGATAGTAGTAGTGCCATGTCTCTGTTCCAATTAGTTTTACTACTTAGGCATAGTGTTCCAAGTTCCCAGGTTGGTGTTAATGTCACTGCTGAATTTACCTTGGAGAAGGCACCAAAGCTAACCACAGCAGAGACATTGTCACTCACAGCAGTGTTGTGATTAGCCAATTGTCTTTGGTCGTGTTATGTATAGCCATCCTTCACACCGCAGCTGGTTCTTATCAGTGCGTCATGTCCATCCTTATTGACGGTTACCTGTTCTATGGGAATAAGGCTTTGAGAGAAATTCGGCCCATGTTAATCTGGAACAGTACTTCCTAGACAGGTATCTCAAAATGTTGTAATTAGAGTGAGCCTGGGTCAACATCAGACTGGGGAAGAATGAATTAGTTAAAAAAATCAAATGCTATTTTTAAAAGTCCAGTGGCTTTTCTCCTTGGCAAGTCTGGTTTCTGTGTATCTGGTTATAGACACTTGTCAGACGAGTTGAAACTGAAGCTCTAGCTACCAGTGACAGAGAAGGATCCTTTGCCACCCAGCGTCACACTTGTCAATGTAGACCAGAAGCAGTCTGAAGGAAAGGTCTGACCACATGAGGATATAGAAATAATCAATCTTTAAACCACGTGTATGCAAGACAATTGGAAGAAGCAGGAGACTATGTACCACTAAGGTAACTTCAACTTCATCCACAGAACTACTGTGATACCCTCTAGACTTGCAAACAGTATGATACTCATTCCAGCAATGCTACCAAGGAAGGATGAATGCTAGTGTCCAATTTGGCCTGAAAGCTCAAGTTATAATATACTTTACATATATCATATCTCATTCTAAAATTCACTTCTCCCATTCTCCACTAAATGGTTTTCTTCCATTGCTATCTGAATTTAGGCAGATTAGTTTATACCATAAGCATGTAGAAATACCTGCATATTAGATACCAAAATAATCTCTGAGACCACAGCAGGTCAAAATGGATGGAGGATTTTTTTTTTTTTTTTTAAAAGGTTTGTTTATTTATTATGTATATCTGCCTCCATGTATGCCCACATGCCAGAAGAGGGCACCAGATCTCCTTACAGATGGTTGTGAGCCACCATGTGGTTGCTGGGAATTGAACTCAGGACCTCTAGAAGAACAGCCAGTGCTCTTAACCCCTGAGCCACCTCTCCAGCCCCCTTTTTTTGGTTTTTCGAGACAGGGTTTCTCTGTGGTTTTGGAGCCTGTCCTGGAACTAGCTCTTGTAGACCAGGCTGGTCTCGAACTCACAGAGATCTGCCTGCCTCTGCCTCCCGAGTGCTGGGATTAAAGGCGTGCGCCACCACCGCCCGGCTTGGATGAAGGATATTAAGCAACATTTTTGCTATGACAAAGAACAGTAGCTGATTAATCATATTCAAACTGGCAAACTTGGTAACAATGTCAACCCAACCTAAGATTAAAATACAATTCTTTTTGATGTTAACTCTGATGTTCTTTGAACAATTTGTTAAAGATTATTTTCTTTTTAGTACAACAAATCTAGATGGCTGTGAAAGTTTTAAATATTTTAGTTTTGTTAATATCCTTCTAACTTTTATTCATGCTCCAAAAGTAGGAAATGGAGGAATCATACACACCTTATACAGAGTTTCATCCCAGATAGATGTTCGGAAACAAGAACATTCTAATGGACGAGATAAACGCCTTAAGTCTTCTTCTCTTTCTTTAAAAATCTGAATTAAAAAAATCCAGTAAATGGATCAGCATGTAACAGCTCTCCTCCTTCACTACAAAATCTGGCATGTAATTATTTTACCATATTTTGACAAGGACCCTTACTCTGTCTTCATAGGAACCCTCAGTTTTATTATTTCTCAAACAAGAGTACAAATGTGCTAATGGCTACTAGATTTCTTCAGACTTATCCTAGTTTTGCTAAATATTTATTGAGAGCACTGTTAGAAAAAGAAATTTATCATTATATGTACATATAGCATATGTGTTTTACACACTTACATACACACACACACATATATATACACACACATACACATAAACACACCCTCAAGTCTGCCAAATCTAGGTCATTTTAATATGGCAACACTTATATTAAAATTTTGTAAATTAAAATGTTTTAGTTCTCCATTATAGAAATATTCTCTAATTACATACATATATGCAAATACATATATTTATATGTGTAGTATACTTAATTTACAACAAATATATAACCCATACAAACAACTATGCTCTAGCCAGCTAGGATTTGTTTCTATGTATACATCCACACATATACAGAGAAAATAGTTATATAAAACATGTATACTCAAGATGTTTCCTTATGTGGGTGAATTGCTAGTATGGGTGTATACACATACTTTCATTTTTAAATTACATTATAATTATTAATTTTTATTTTAGGTACATGGGTATTTTGCCTGCATATATATCTCTCGGAAGGTGTTGGATTCTGGAGTTATAGACATTTATGAGCTGCCATATAGGTGCTGGAAACTGAACTCAGGTCTTCTGGAAGAAGAGTCAGTGCTCTTAACCGCTGAGCCATCTCTCCAGCCCTTAAATTACATTTTAATTTAAAATCTAATTACATTGCCTTTCCTCTTCCCTTTCCTTATTCCAGATGCTCCCAAGTCTCCTCCTTTTCACTCCTTTCTTGTCCCCCTTACTTCTTAAATTGATTGTCTTTTCTTTGGTATTTATTGTCACATACACACACAGGCATGGATATATAAATACGACCATTTTGTTTTGTTTTCTGAGATAAGGTTTCTCTAGTATTACAGTCCTGACTATCCTGAAACATGTACTGTCAACCAGGCTGGCCTCAAACTCATTGAGATCTGCCTGCCTCTGCCTCACAAGTGCTGGAATTAAAGGTGTGCATCACCACTGCCTGTCCTGAGTTCATTTTTGCTGTCTGTGTGTATTTTATTTCAGGGCTAACCACTTTGTACTAGGTAGTCAAACGCTGTCTAATATGACTTAATGTCTAACAAGTGGGAAATCATGCCTGGTACTAGAAGTCTAGTCAACTTCTAGGGACTAGTGAAGCAATGGATCTTAGAAGAGAATCTACTACTTTTCTAGAAATGTTAATTCCCTATTATATTCTAAATCTTACTTCTTATACCCACAGATAAGTGTAGCCACCACCACTCATCAAAGAAGCCTCTTTTAATAGCAAATGAAGAACATCACAGAAAACAACTAGATACAATGCTGAGCCCAACAAATCTTGTGGGGTCCAGCCCCAATGGATAGTTCTACATCACAACTCCTGCATCCATCTACTCTACATTGCAGAACAGGGGGCAGAAATATTGTAAGAGCCAGACTATGAGGCAGTCCTGTGAAACACCCTTCTCTAGACATGTCTACACTGCCTTTTTACTTCAAGTACAACACTGAAGTTTTATGTTGGCCTACTCTCCAAACTTCATTCAGTCGAACTACTTCCTTTCAATAAATCAATCTCAACTTCTACCCTCTCTCCCCTATTTCACATTCTGTTATTCTGCTGCTCTGGTGAACCTTTAATACAAGATTTTAATACTAAGAGTGGGTTCTAGAGTAAAACCTTTTTTAATTATTCAAATTTTTTTTCATATAATATAGTCTGATCAAATCTTTCCTCCAAACTCTTTTCCCAGATCCTCCCCTCTTTCCTATACACTCAATTTCATGTTCTCTTGTGTTCTCTCTCTCAAAATAAAATAAAATAAATCCTGGAAATCAAAACACATTGTTATACCCATAGATCAGTGCATCACTCAACCCTTCTCAGAGAAGCTTCTTCTTAAAGTAGAAGGTAATTAACAGAGAACCACACTGGACATGGTACCCAGACTGAGAGACTTTGGCACACTCAGCCCTATATGGGATGTCTGTAATCCTGCCCCTGACACCAAAGGCTCAGGGAATCTACTTCAGGAGTCAGAAAGATTCTAAGAGTTAGAGCAGAATCTTAAAAATGAGTTTTCTGAATTGATTTTGATGTAACTGAGATTAATTCTCTAATCAGGTTAGAATTAAAGATGTCATTTCAAGGAGAAATGAGAATACTCAAGGGAGTCTGTGGGTGATAAGAAATTCAGATACTGAATCATACTAATCAAGAACTTGTAAGAGACAACATTCTGCAGGACACAGAAGAAAGTGACTGCTGTCTTTGAAATTTCCTGCTTCATGGAAAAGTCTGCTGGATACTATGATGGGCCTGTGGACTGAAGATTGGACAGCCACTACATTCCTATCTAAGAATAATCCAACTTTTCCTGAAGAAACTGAAATGGACTCCTCAGAAGTAACTACAAGAGAGTTCTGATTCATTCCTAGCAAACCCCTTTGCTTCTATGTCTATACACATTCAAATGTCAGAAGTATCCTGAAGGTGGGATACAAAGCATGAACCATGAAGATTAGTCTAGCCTCTAAAAGAAGCACATGATATTTCTAATAAATACAGATAAAAAACAAAGATAACTATGAGAACAGATATTAAAGGTGTAGAATATAGTGGAAGGGACATAACATTCACTCAGGCCAAATTTACTGATACAGGTCCAATAAGCAGAGGATTTGTAGGTAATGGGTAAAGAAAGTGTTCTTGTAACTGCCTGAGAAATGAATCAAAACACAACCTATACTAACTGAAGCTAAAATGTCAGATCTGCACTGTTCTACTACCCAGGAAGGCATCTAATGACATAGGGAGTTCACAGTCCTCAAGGTTTGTCATTTATAACCTATTCATCAACAGTGGGAAGTTCCAGAACACAATGTTGATGAGAAACAAATTTGTAGAAACCCCAGCTTCCCATTCCCTGCTCTTTGATCACGTTTCTCTGTAGGCCAAAATTTACAGTGGTAATTGCTACCATTTAACTGGGAAACCTAAATACAAAGGGAAAGTGGGTGCTATAGTAATGAGAACAATGTGGATATATTTCATCATCAAATACAAGGAGAGCCGGGCAGTGATGGCACACACCTTTAATCCTTGCACTCGAGAGGTACAGACAGGCAGATCTCTGTGAGTTAGAGGACAGCCTGGTCTACAAAGTAAGTTCCAGAACAGTTAGGGCTGTTACACATAAAAACCCTGTCTTGAACTCCCCCCTCCCCAAAAAACAAGGAGAGTACCCTTATTTTATTGAAGAGAAGGGTCAAACTCACAGAAACCTATAGCTTTGCTAGCTGATCATGGTGCTCCTATAAATGATCTAGAAGCGATATCTACTACATTCTTATTTGATCTACATAAATGAAATAATTTAGGTCAAATCACCAAAAATTTAGCACAAATCATAAAATACCATAGTTTCTCGACTGGTATCCAGATCTGTGCCACTTTATAAATCCAGAAATTCTTGAATGAAAGAGGAGGGTGGATCAACTTAAGAAAAGATGCTGATGCAATTCTATTCAGTCTGTTTATTCAGTTTTTGTAGAAGACATGGCTCTTGGAAGGTGGGGTATCATATGCTTAAGAAGTTTCTGACTGCAAGTTACAACTACTGGACTAGATATGATTAAAATACCAAGTCTTCTACTGGTATAAGAATCAACTTTTCCTTTTATGTATAAGAAGGCTACTTATTTGTTTTAATTTTGTATCCCACTACTTTGCTGAATGTGCTTATAGCTTGGGAGTTTTCTAATGGAGATTTTAGGGTCTTTATGTACAGAAATTTATCATCTGAAAATAAGGATATTTTACTTCCTCCTCTATGTATAATACTTTCATTCTCGGGTCTCCAGCTTATCTTCTCTGCTCTCCAGGTTCCAGATTCCTTCTAGGAGGCTTCCAGCATCAGCTGAGCTAGTTCCTTAAATGAAATACCCTCCCATTTGTTTGCACCTTTGTTTTTCTATGAACAAACACATCTGATTGGGTCTGTTTCTCTGGAAAACTCAAACATACATAGACATGCATAGAAATATTCATCTTAGGGCCAGGCAGTGGTGCCACACGCCTTTTTTTTTTTTTTTTGGTTTTTTCGAGACAGGGTTTCTCTGTGGTTTTGGAGCCTGTCCTGGAACTAGCTCTTGTAGACCAGGCTGGTCTCGAACTCACAGCGATCCGCCTGCCTCTGCCTCCCGAGTGCTGGGATTAAAGGCGTGCGCCGCCACACGCCTTTAAAACCAGGTCTTGGGAGGCAGAGGCAGGAGGATCTCTGTGAGTTTGAGGCCAACCTGGTCTACAGAGCAAGTTCCAGGATAGGCATCAGAGGTACATGGAGAAAACCTGTTTCGAAAAACCAAGAAAAAAAAAGAGAAAAAGAAATATTTATCTTAGCTGAAATTATTATTTTGAGAAGCACATACAGTCATTTTTATTTGAAACTTTTCTGTTTAAAATAATTAATATTTAATATTAATTTTATATTAACTATAACATATATTGTTTAATAATACAATATTAATTGAAAATTGATATCCAATGAAATTAATGACTTTCTCAGAATATTTATTTAGAAATATAGGTTTTTTTTTTTTTTTTTTTTTTTGGTTTTTCGAGACAGGGTTTTTCTGTGGCTTTGGAGCCTGTCCTGGAACTAGCTCTGTAGACCAGGCTGGTCTCGAACTCACAGAGATCCGCCTACCTCTGCCTCCCGAGTGCTGGGATTAAAGGCGTGCGCCACCATCGCCCGGCTAGGTATTTTAACTTAAAATATACTAACTATATATATTAAAAGACCATTAATATATATTGGAAAGTATTTATATGACTAATTAAAAACTGTAAGAGAAATTACAAGTGATTGAAACATCAAGGGGAGCTCATTTGTTGGAATGCTCTAGCTTTTAAATTGCAATTTTGGCTAAAAAGTAATTTTTTAAAATTGCGGTGTACTGGGGATTTAACTCAAGGCACTCTACCACTAAGTAACACCCTCGGCTCTTAAAATTATTTTTAAAGTAACAGAATAAGGAGTCGGAGAGATGGTTCACCAATGAAGAACTTTTGCTGCCTCTGCAGAGGGCTCAAGGTTAGTTCCTGATTTCTAGCACCAGATCTCATAGATTCTTACCTAAGAATTTGCCTATTTTACTACACCTCTTCTGTACTGAGTCGCTGAGTTCTCTGAATTACAAGTCACTAGTTTTATGTGTTTTTGTTGAGGTGAAGGTTGATATTTCCTACTCTAACATTCTTGGTAATGTCTGAGTTATACTTGTGTATATAAATTCATTCATGCCAGCACAATTGTGAGGGACTGTAAATAGTGCTTGACAAACTGGGAGGCACTTGAACTGGTGCATAGCAGTTCCCGAAATCAGTCCAGTGACAGGAGCCACCTCTCCTCATTCTTACCCCTGGTGGGTCTTTTAGCTGTGACAATACAATAGAGGTAGTAAACTATTTTTTAAATGATAACAGTTACTTAGTAAAAGTACATGGTTGTATCTTCTTAATTCTGAAATACAGAATGCTACAAATTTACCTACACTTTTATAAAGAAAGTCTACAAAGCACGGTAACCATTTGGTACAGCACCTTTTCAGTTTCTTACCAAGTCTCGTTGATCCTCCTGTACCAGATCCATTTTGTGTACCAAGCAAAAGATTTTGGCTTCTGGAGAATTCTGCAGAATGGCCTCAAGGCATGACTGGTAATAGTGCATGTCCTTTTCAAGTTCACGGCTCTCCACATCAAAGACATATATTAGAACCTCCACATTTCGAAAGATGTTGTCACGCTGGCTAGTGAAATAATTTTCCATGAAGGTGTCTTGTCTGTTAGGAAAGAAAATCTAGATCGTAAACAAGTCCTCTGTTTAATCACTACTGCTTGAAATTTTCTTAGCTCGATCAAGAGAAAGATAATCTTAAACTTCAATTCAAAGAGCAAAGAACAGTCAAACATATTGAGCTCTACCTTACTCTATTTCAGTCATAACTTGCAAGCCTGTAAAATTATTTGCCTTTCTTCTTATGTTTTGTTTTGTTGTTGCTGTTGTATTTGAGACAGGGTCTCACTGTGTAGACCAAGCTGGCCTCAAACTCATAAAGATCAGTCTACCTTTGTATACTTACCATGCCTGGCCTCTCTCCTTTCAATTTAAACACCTTTCTGTTCATTGAGTGGCTGATGGTTTAACTCATGAGTCTTTTACACATATTGATCACTCTTTCAATTCTTCATCTAATTAATCCCACCTTTTCCTTTAGATTTCAGTCCAATCCACATGTCCTCATAGAAACCATCCCTACCTTGAGCCAGCTCACTTACTGTAGGCTCTTTACCAACACATCCCTGTCATTTACAACACTTACCACAAGTGCAATACTACACTTATTTGGATGAGTTTTTAATTAATAGTGTTCAATCCTCTATACAACCAGCCAAGGATCATCCCTAATATTATCTCCCACTGTCTCACAGATTTTAAAGGGTGGTAAATGCTTAATGAACATTTGCTGAATAACTTCAGTCAAATATTCTAAACTATATGAAAATGACTCCAATGATGACTTCTCAGCAGAATGTTACTCTCTGCTCCTAGGTTGGGTGCTACTTTCCAAAAACAATCTCAATAGCAGGAAATCAACAAAACAGTAGTATCATTTAGCAGTGTATATGGGGTGGTGTTTACAAATTTCTAATCCTAATCCTGCACCTTGCTAATTACAGCTGTGCAACCTTGGAAGAATCATAAATTCTCTAAGTTACAACAGATACTTGAACTACAAAACTGAATTTCATATTTAGTACCTAAAAGCAAGGAACTTGGATATATCTGTTGACATAGAGAATTAGAAGCAATCAAAATGAGGGAAGATTTATATCCTAGGATATTAATCCAGGTGCTAGCAAGAAAAGAGTTACTTTCTTAAGAGTATTTAGGTCTTACATTATTCTGTCAAAATACTAATTGAGCATCTTTTGTATGTTTAGAGCTAGGAAATAACCACCAGACAGTAATATCTATTTTCTAAGACACTACAGTATATATTGTATATATTTCAACCTGCTTAATCATCATAATAAACCAACAAGTTGGTTATTTTGCTCTATTGTACAGGTGAAGCTACAGCACAGAGACTTTGAACATATGCCAGACAAAGAACCTATGCTCTTAATCACTATGCATTCACTACCGCTGCTTCAGCACAGTGATGTATATGAACTCAGCACACAGGCATAGTAAGTGTACATTTGTGTGGGGATTTTTGATGATTGCATTGATTATGAAAGGAAGTGCTCTCTTACTCTCCCAATAATAGGTAACTTGGTCAGATATAATATGCTCAGAATGCAATCTACAAGTGATAAGACTGCCTAGAAGTAATTACCAAAATGACTATAAACAGTCTAGTATAATAAAAATAGCTAAGAACTCAACTCAATACTAGCGTCAATCAACCTGAGGCAGATTTAATTTACGCCACTGCAAAAGAGGGCTGATCTATCCCATATTATATATACTTAGATGGAGCTTAGATTGGAGCTACTTAAATATCTCTTATGTAGAGGGCATTTTCAAAGTTGTACAAAACACATCTTTACTAATCAACTGACAATTCTGAAATATTTTTAGGCAGGGGATCTATGAATATAATAGTTATTCTAGGTATAGTTGATTATACTTGATGACATCATTATTGCTATCAGCTTCACAAACAAGTAGGCACATAGTACTTACCCACCACAATCCCACAGGTTCAAAACCAGGTTTCCCAGAAATCGAACATGAGAATGCTCTACATCAACTGGAAGATAAATGTTACAAATCTAGTATTTGCAGTAAAGACCATTAGGATCAGAAAGAAAATAAAAACCACTAACCCATGGTGTTTAGAAGGACCAAAGTGGAGTGAAATGCTCAAAGCCATAACAAGAAGGCGATTTTCAGCTTAGTCATGTGGTTTAGTGGCAAGGTAGGCATTTACACTACCCTAAGCTAAAGGATTGCCTTGTGTCAGTAATTTTTAAATTTCAGTAGTTTAGTACCCAAAGCAGAAACATTCCCCAATTATAATATTAATGTTAAGTTTTAACACGCAAGACAGTGACATACACCATTTAACAGATCTTCCCAACCCCACCTTCTTTCTCCAACTTTCCTCAAAAAAATTAAAGACAGAAAACAAACATAAAACATAACAAAACTAACTTCTGTACTGATTTCCTCAGCAGTTAATGACTTTATTGATTTTCCTAATTTTGACTCACCTGACCATGCTCAATTCTTTTTGAATCATTTTTAGTATCTCTTAATTTCATTCTTTATTTCATATTCTATCATTCAACATCAAGGAGGGCCCTTACTATCTCATGCCTACACTACAAGAAAGCCTTACTTACATCATCCATTAGGCTACTGCAAGGTTCATCTTCTTAACACTACTTTGAACATATCACTCCCCATTCAAAACACTTTAAATGGCCCCTACATATTTAATGGTCCTTCACTCAAGGTCCTTCACTTTGGCTTCCAATCTACCTTTATAATCCCCAGAAATTCCCATTAACAAATCATTTCACTTCAACCTATTATGTTTTATTCATAGTCCTCCCAACCCTACTACCTCCCCACCCCCCAACATATTTCACATTCAGGGGTCGCAAACTTGCTAAATCAGGCCATGTGAGCAAACCTATACCATTTAAGCTAGCTAAACGTGATGGTAAACATCTACCATGGGCTCACAGAGGTTGATAGTTACTCAAATCTTGTTCATTTGCCATGCAAAATTACTACTGGCTCAGGTTTACTAGATCTTCAACATTTTAAGTAGTAGCTTGAATTCTAGATTTTTATGAAAACTTTTACAGGAGATTATAAGTTCAAATTGTTCTAAAACAATGCACAAAGTCAAAGAAAGCACAACCATCGGCCTTCTCCAGCACATAGGCTGTTTGCGACCTCTGCTTAATGGTTCCCTCCTACAACCCATTACCTTTTCCATCTTTTGCTACAAAGTGCCATCCCTTCTTCCTTTCAAAGGTAATTCTAAAATCCAAACTAATTCCCACCTCCTCCAAAAGTTCTCCTTGCCTGACAAAAATCCCACTTACCATAAGCTGAACTCATTCAAACATTTATTAAGCAACTACTCTCTGCCAGGCACTAAAAACCTCAAGAAGGAATAATTTAAGATTTTACCATGAATATTTTTCACAATCTAACAATTTCATTCTATATAATTTATGTGCTAGTCAACTCAGTCACATTGAAATATTTCCTGTGTCTATCCCCAAGCTGTTACCTAAACCAACTGCTATCTACTTTTTTTTGCTATCTACTTTTATACAATTTCATAATATATAGACAAAAACCATTCATGATAATGTACATCATACAGATTGTAAAGTCAAACAGACTTTAGTTTATATGACAGTGCTACCTCTGTATGACTTTGCGCAAGTCATGAAAGCTTTTAGAATTAGCTTCCACTTCTGGGAAAAGGAAGGAAGGAACATAGTACTGACCTCCCAGGATTGCTATGAGGATTCAAAGAGCTATATACATAAAAGTGCCTGGCACATAGTAGATGCACAAACTACTTCCCCTTTACCCTTTACTTCCCCCTCCTTGAAAAAGAAATCATATCTTACATGTCTTTGTATTTCCAACAGAGTCTACGAGAGAGTAGGTGCTCAAACTGCTATTAATTTGAAGACTATGTATACGGTCTAGTACTAAAAAAAAAATGGAAAGAAGTGCTACTGAGAAAGGGAAAGACAATAACAAAAGCAGTGACAGGATTCAATGACTTAATATGGGGCATATGGGATAGAAATCAGGTTTCTACTCCCATAGCACAGAGTGCACGTTTTAGTCCTTACTTTCTGCAGCATGACACTGTTGACTACTCACTTCTCCTCAAAAATAATTCTCTTCTCTTGGTCTCTGGCATCACATCTACAAACTCTGTGGAAGATCCTCCCTCATGGACTCTTATTCTTCTTTCTGTCCCTTAAATGTTAGGGTTCTTTGGGACTCTAACAGTGGCCACCTTCTCATCAAAACATTTTTCCCCAAGACAAGATAACTGTCATATAATATTACTTTATCATCTGGACACTAACTAGGTAACACCAGTACTGATTTCTCAATGTGTTCTGTCTGTACTATAAGCATTCCAAATGGAATCTATTAAATGTAATTCAGCTCTCCTTTCAGTTGGCTCCACCTTGGTGAATGTAACCAGCCGCCTAGTCGAAAACCTCTCATCCTTCAAGTCTTCTTTTCCCTTATAATTCTCTTCAAGTTCCCCAGAAAGTTCTGTTGACTCTGTCACCAAGCATATCCCCCAACATTCTAGCTTTGTACCATATCGACTACCACTACCCTAGTCCAAATCAAGCCCCTGCCATTTCTCAAAGTTTTTTAAAATTATAGAAATTACTTCTCACGGTTCCAAAATCTTGAAAATTCTGAGATCCAGCCACCAGTTCAGTGAAAACTAGCACTCTGGCTTACAGATGGTACCTTTTTCTACTCTTCCATCACTCTAAACTTCCATCCACATTACACATATAGTAATTCCTCCAAATTGCTGAGTTTTATACCATTCTTTAAAAAGACCATGTCTGTGCATGCATAATTGTATGCACTGAGCAGAGGGTCAGAATGGTAATCTGAGAAGCACTAATGGTGGTTGTCTCTAGGAAAGTGGCTTGACAATAAAGAACAAAGTAGACTTTTTATATTTAAATAACACTTGAAGCTTTCACAAGTATTTTGAATTAAAACTGTAGCTCTGATCATGTTACTTTTTATTGTTTAAAATTCTTTCATAGGTTGACTATCTTATATGTCAAGCTTGGCTTATACGACATTTTACATATAAATCCCATTTCCTGCTTCCGGATTAAATGTTATATTACTGTGTGTCCCTATGGTTCTTTATAACCTTCCTGCTCTGTTATCATGAGAGCAACTGAAAAGAATAAAGAACGGAGCGTTGGGGAATCACTTACACTTACGGGGCAGAAAGAAGAAAACATTATGATAAAGATTATCATTTTTAAAAAGCAGGGAAGGTTGTTTAAAGATAAAGGAAGAAAATCAGGGCAATAAAGCATTAAATAAAAAGCCAAGAGAAAAGAATTTTGAGAATTTAGAAAATCTTGGAGCCGTCAACAGTGTTTGATATTAAAATACTTCATAATCATTTTAGTGGCAAATTTACCATCCCAACAAATAATTTTAACATCTGCCTAGTGAATTAATTACATCATGGTTTCTTCTTTATTTCAAATTTCAAAATGCAGGAGGCTTTAAATTTAACAAAATAAAACAACATATTTTAGGAATGAAAAATCAGAAAAACACTAACACATTTAAGTCAAACAACATTGTAAAAGTAGTACTCTTTTTACTACCTTTATAGAAAAAAAAATAACAAATAAAAAGCAATGCACTATATAAACCGAACTCGTCTATATATTTAGCAACAAACACAGATCTGTCTTCATTAGTGACAAACCAGTTTTTGATGATATGCTAAAACATTAATACTAATATTTTTCATTATATTTATACTCTCTTTAAGGAAATTCAGGAAATATTAACCAACCAATATACTACTTTACATATTCTTAGGAGCAAGTGCCCTATCCTACTAACAGTCTGGCAAGAGACACTGCTAGGTATATACTTGTTGAATAAATAGCCTATTCTAATGAACAGGATTATATAATGGGCAACATTATGCTTATAATGCTGCTGAATTATATCAACATTATTTTCAGCAGTTTCAATAGTTGTGAAAATCTTGCTATGAAACTATACGTTGGATTCAGTGTCATAAACCAACTGTTGATTAGTTAGAAACGGAAATCAGTGGTACTAAGAAAAGATGTTTCAACAAAATGTGTAGGATTTAAAATAAGAAGAAAATGTCTTCTAGGAATTGAGTAGTGGAAATATAAACAGGCTGTGTCATAATAAAGAGAAGAGCAGAGACTAATATCCCGTCTGACACTTAATACCAGAATGTGATTAATTTTTAAGTTATACTTTCATTACCTGTTAGAATAAAGGTAATATGAAAACTAAAGTAAATGAGAGCAAGAACAAAAGTCATAGTACTTCAATAAGCATCTCTACTCTACTAAAAACACACAGATAGGAGGCCTATCTATTTAATATGGAAGACAAAGTTTGAATGTATCAAATCAAGACACAGGAAAACATTTGGACGAGTATACTTTTTAGAGGGTAGAAACCAGCTCTACAAGTGTTACAAGCCATAGGAAACTATCTGGACCATCATTTTTACAGTAACTGAGATACTTATCAATAAAACTGTATATAACTATGAAGGATAAGAACCACATCAAGTGAGAGAATAAGTAGTTACAATGAAAATATGAAGTCCTTTTTTATTATGCATAAGAAAACTAATCCAATGGCTTGGATTCTAAATTAAACATGAGCCATTTAATATAAGGATTCACTACTAAGTTCAAATGATGAACTGTGCAAAAACCAAACGATGTGTACGCTTGAATAAGATATATGCAAATACGAATTGGGGCTTTTATTACAATTCTGTAAAATGAAGGGTGTTTCAAAACAAGAAGGTAGAGTTTCACCATACTGACAGCAAAGGAATGCCCCAAATAAGAGATGTAGTAGGCCTGCCTTGCTCTGATAAAACCACATCTGCATTCATGTCATATAAGAAAAATAGTGACAAGTTTGAACAAGTCCTTAAAAACATTCAAAATTATGTCAAATGAGGAACCAGAGATGTTTTAAAGTAAGGATAACAAAATTTCGGAGGCAGGGAATGAATAAGATAAATTGAGATATTCTGTTTTCTCAAATACGTGTAGAGAACAGAATAGAAAAAAAAAAGTAGACTTGGAACTCTATCTAGGAAACAGCTTTCTTTTCTTTCTTTCTTTCTTTCTTTCCTTCCTTCCTTCCTTCCTTCCTTCCTTCCTTCCTTCTTTCTTTTTTCATTTTTTATGACATGGTTTCTCTTTAGCTTTGGTGCCTGTGCTGGAACTAGCTCTGTAGACCAGGCTGGCCTCGAATTGACAGAGATCTGCCTGCCTCTGCCTTCCGAGTGCTGGGATTAAATGTGTTGCACTACCACCGCCCAGCGGAAACAGCTTTCTAATCACCAAGTTTCTGCTCAAATTATAGAAGTCTACACTATACACCAACCTCAAACAGAAATAAAGTTCCTTTTTCTTTATATCTCAGAGTCTGGAGCATAATGTGCTTAAAAGATGTTTGTTATTCTTAAAATCAGATTGGGACACCTTATAGAACAATGCTAACGTCGCTAAACAAACTAAAGATGCTAGAAACCCAGACTGAAATCTCTGAAGTCTAGGAAGAGTGATGCCTTCCTCAGCCAGAAGCCAAGAACAAAGCAGACTTCAGAAATGTTTAGACGCTTCAGAATGAAATAGCAATCTGATTCAGTATAAGGTACTCACAGGATTCTTGATTCATTGTTCTGCTAGCCCAGAAGTCTATACTAATAGTCTAGTCACAAAGTGCTATTAAGAAGTTATTTCCCAACTCAGAGTAGATGTTCCAAAGAGAAGCTATAGGTGTGTAAAGAAAGAGAAATGGCAGAGTATAGAACTCCTTACCATTCCCAAGTTTTTCCTTTAATAAGGACAAGGACCAACTTTTGCATTAAAAACATCTTCAGTTTTACTGCATGCTAGCTAATGCCTATAATGTTCCTCTTTGTATAAAAAGTTACAAACAAACATTCTCCCCACAAAATAAGCAGGCAAAGGGTCCCTATTCTTGCCTAAGAAACAGCAGGATACACAAAAAGTTAGCTAAGAACATCCCATTTTGCAAGCAACCTAGAAAAGAGAGCAGCTCCCAAGGATAGTGAGAAAAAATAACCAGAATTAGGCCACGCATTCTGAAGAGAAATGCAAAAGGGGAAAGCATGCTCCAAAGCAAATTCATCAACCTGTGCATTCCGAAGCTGCTGCAATCAAGTGTGTTATGCAGATTATTAATAGCCAAGGTCACCTTGCTTTACAATAAGATGAAACATCTTACTTGTTGCACCAAGGCGACGTGTGTCTCTGGCAATATAATTGGCAAAGATAATAGACCTCATGCTGGTCTTACCAGATCCACTTTTACCCATTAACAGCACCTAAAGACAAAGGAAAAATGTTAGTAATCTAGTGCAAATCTAGTGTAAAGGGATCCATTTGTCCTCTGTAGCTGGCATTTTACTGAAGTGTAAGTACCAATGACCAGTATGGACACCTGTAATTAGTTCAACTCTTCCCCCAAATAACAATCCAAATGCCAAGCACTTACCTGCTACCAGGGGCACATCATTTTAGCAATACAATGTCAATGAGTTTGTTATTATGCATAATATTTTTTAAAGATTTATTTCTATTATTCTAATTTTGCATATGTGTGTGGAAGGTATGTGCACAAGAATGAATGCAAGCACCTGCAGATATCAGAGATGTGAGGTCCCCTAGGAGCTGCAATGACAGGCAGTTTTAAGGCCACCTGAAGGGGTTGCTGGGAATCAAACTCAGGTAGGTCCTCAGGAAGAGCAGTATATGCTCTTAACCACTGAGCCATCTGTGCAGTTCCTTGTTATTATACATAATATTTATTTAGAACAATGTTAGAAAAATGCCATCTTGCTGGAGAGATGTTTCAGCAGTTAAGAGCACTGAGTGCTCTTCCACAGGACCTAGGTTCAATTCCCAGGACCTACATGGCAGCTAACAACTGTTACTACAGTTCCAGGGGATCTGACACCCTCCCACAGACAACAGAAAAATAAATAATGCACATAAAAATAAATCTTGAAAGAGCAAATAATTAAGATAATTTAAAAAAAGAAAACTATCATCTTAATAGGAAACTAACCCTATTCTCCGATAATTCAAGGTTGTACATACATTGACCCAACTAGCAGCTTTCAGAGTAACTGAGAAGCTCCTCCTACTTCTCTGTTCAAGATCAGTTCTTTTTATTCCAGCCCATGATCTCATCCCTTTCGCATCTTTCTATAACTTTTTTTCAATCAGTTTTTTGTCTTTTCTTTTTAGCTTTCCTATGTCCTACAAAATTGGGCACTTAAAATTACACACAAGGTCATTCTTGGTTTAGCTTATCTTCTTCTGTCTTCACCTCCTGATTCTCCTAGCCCAGAACTGTTAGTATCCAGTCACATTTAACTGAATGGCAAATAGTCTCTTTGTTTCCAGCCCTCTAGGGAGTCCTGACTATGTCTGTATTCACTCTGTATTCTCTACCATCCTTTAGTCTTCTTTCAACTAAGTCCCACTTCAACACTTGCTTTAACAATCATCTCAGGAATTTTCTCTGGAGCTGGGGATGTGCCTCAGTACTAGGGTATTTACCTCCTACAAGTGAAACCCTGGGTTCAATCCCCAGTATCCTCCCCATAGTTTCTCTGACCCAAATGCCTTAGGCCAGTGGTTCTCAACGTGTGGGGTGTGAACCCCACAGGGTGTTTGAATGACTCTTTCACAGAGGTTGCCTAAGACCATTGGAAAACACAGTTATTTATGTAGTGATTCACAACAATAGCAAAATTAGTTTTGAAGTAGCAACAAAAATAATTTTAGGGTTGGGGCTCACCACAACATGAGGAACTGTATCAAAGGGTCAAGGCATTAAGAAGGCTGAGAACCACAGCCGTAGGCTGACTTAGGTATCTTGCCTGCCCTCTAGTGGTCTTACTATATCATTGCAGACCATAAAGCTCTGCAGTCCCTTGTTTTGGGAACTCTTCTCAGGAGTTCAAACTGTTGAAGGACAGAGGGAGTCTCTTTGTATCCTTTGTGCCCTTTTTTTTTTATCTTCAGTGCCTAATATGTAACAAAAGCTTGAAGTATTTTCATCAAAAAATGAACAAGCCATTAAAACTAAAATGCAATGACAACTGTCTGAAAGCAAGACCTGATACACATCTTTCTTGTGTTAGGATTTAACCTGCGAATAATGCCACATATTCTTGCACTAAATGACTTTCAAATAGACAAGATCTCCCGGGTAAACTGGGGTGGGGGTGGGTAGAGGGGAACTGTAGGGAGATGAGAACATCAGGGACCAGGATGGTCCAGTTGGGGGAAGGATGGAGAGGGAGAGCAATGAGAGCAATATTTTGATAGAGGGAGAATTATGGGGTTAGAGAGAACCCTGGGGCTAGGGAAACTGCCAGGAAACCACAAGGATGATCCCAGTTAAGACTCCTAGCAATAGTGGAGTGGGTACCTAAACTGGCCTTCCCCTGTGATCAGATTGAGGACTACCCTAATTGTTATCATAGAACCTTCATCTAGTAACTGATGGAAGCAGAAGTAGAGATCCACAGCCAAGCACTGGGCTGAGCTCCCAGGAGTCCAGTGGAAGAGAGGGAGGAGGGTTAAATGAGCAGGGAGCAGGGGGTCGAGATCACAATGGGGAAGCCCACAGAGACTGCTAACACTCCGGACAGAAAGCTGGGAAGCCTGTATGGGACCAAACTAGGCCCTCTGAATGTGGGTAACTGTTGTGTGGCTTGGTTTTTCTGTGGGGCCCGTGGCAGTGGGACCAGGATTTATCCCTGGAACATGAACTGACTTTTTGGTGGGTTACCATGCTCAGTCTTGATACAGGGGGGAGGGGCCTGGTCCTTGGTGTGCCAGGCTTTGTTGACTCACCACAGGAGGCCTTACCCTTTCTGTGGAGTGAATGGAGAGTGGGGGAGGAGGAGAGGAGGAGGGGAGGGAGGAGAAACTGTGGTTGGTGTGCAGACTAAATAAAATAATTTTAAAAAGACTTTCAAAGAGTCCTTCTAAACATAAAAATGATGAAATACAATTCTCATAACCGTCTCATTTTCAAATGAAAGGGATACCTAGTCTCTACCTTCAGTCCCAATATATTTTATTGAAATGTCTGATTACAAGGAACATTAATGAAATATAAGGAACATTAATGAAAATGGATTTATTCAATCCAACAATTTATAGCTTTACCTCCCTAAGAAAATGTAACTGCTTAGCCAGTCTAAAATTAGTATGGAAGTTTTCCCGTCCTTTGCAAAACAATGTAATTGAAAACAATAACTATATATTTCTGAGGGTACAAACTGATTTTTTAATGCATGTACACTGTAGAATGTTTAAATCAAATAAAGTTTTACCCTTTTTCTCTTTTCGCAGTTTTTTGAGATTTTCAATTGTTTCTAATTTTTGCTCCTAATCATTTTTGAGATTTTCAATTGTTTCTAATTTTTGCTCCTAATCATGTAGAGATTTCTGGCATTTTTAGGCATGCTTGTTGATAGCAACTTCAGACATTTCATCAAAAACATCTTCCTAGCAAACTTAAGGCACAGAATTAAATTTTAGATGAAGTCAGGCTAAAAGTATTAGGCCTTTTCATGAAAAGGCAAGGATAATTATATTTGAGCTCTACAGGGAGTTTACTCATGTAAAGTTCCTAATAGTCTTGGGAGGGTTATGACCCCTTCACAGATGGCACGAAATCTCACAAAGGTCAAGAAATTTGCTTCAGAGCTACAGTCTTAGGGATAATAACTAAGTCCCAATAAAAGTGCAAAGCAAAGAACATTCAATTCCAGCTAGCAAAACACATGGAACATTTGATTTGTGTTAAAGAATCAATGTGCACGCAGAGGGCTGTGTAATAGTTGTATATGGCTTGACTCCATGACTCCATAATTTTAGACAAAGGGAATCTGGCAGTAAATAAAGGGATGAGAGTCCAAAAGACCATATAAGTTATTGCCATAGTTCAGGAAAAGACAGATTTCCTGGACTGGGACTTCTTACCTTTTTCTTCATGTTTCTAATCCTAATGTACCTAACACATCTTACCTTTTTCTTCATGGCTGCGTTTGGCATTGCCCACCTGTAGATATAAACCAAAAGACAGTGTTTCCATGATCTAATTGCCTTAGAAATTTGTTTAAAAAAAAAAAAGGCAAGTAAACGGAGAGAAGCAGAAGAATACTGTTTAAAACAGCTAAGTACGCAGGAGACCTCGTTTCATTAGTCTTCATTTTTCTAAATTATAAAACTGGGTCTATGTTCCCTGCTTCCTTCGTTAGCTCAGGAGATGCTTCCTGGGAAGACATATTTAGAAACAAAAACAATTTAAATTCAAGATCTGGTATTTGTCATAAAACTAACACAATACGCTGTGCACTTCTAGAAGTCAAACAATATTTTTAATTTGAATACTATATTTTTAATTTAGCTCATTTTCAAAACTGGAAGCATCTTTGGACCTTCGATCGTCCTTCCAAGCTACATTTCATTCATTAAAGGCACCAAGTACACATAATGCAGCTCGCAAACAGGCATATCAAACTATACGTCATTGGTCAGTAAAGGTCCTCTCCCCCTTTTTATCACTAACGAGGTGATATCTATCACCAAATCACCTTTGTAGAAAACGCAAAACAACTCAGAACTGCCTCAATTAGAGCACTACGCAGAAACCAGGAATCTCAGCTTCAGGCAAAGGGCTGTTTCAGGTCTCCGTTTTTCTCTATCATCAAGGGCATGATATCAATCAACCATGCGGGTAAATTACAGCAATTTATCCCTGGAGCTTAGGGGTTGTTGCCGTTCGCAATACTCTTTCCAATTAGCACACCCTCCCTCCTAGGTACAACATAATATACCCTTCACCCACCCAAGCGATTCTTCCGGTTCCCCGAGTGGAGGCTCCACTCTTGGGCCCAGATTCTCTTTCTCCGTCTTTTTCTCGGAGTCAGATTCTTCCATCGCGCAACAAGTCCTTCACAGAGCCTTCTAAATGCGCAGTACTCTTGTCTTCCGGCTCACCTCCTCAACTGCCTCTGCTCACTGCCCGCGGCCCTGCTCTAGCCCTGCCTCCGCCTTTGTCCACTGGGGGGCCGCGTTTCCCACAGTTACCCTTACCGCCCCGAACTTAGTCTCCTGCACGGCCGAGCAGGCCAGCCCAAAGGGACCAGCGACTCGTGGCGTGCGAAGAAGAGATGGAGGGGAGGGAGGGCAAGGTGGCTGAGGAGTTGGTCCCGAGTTGGGGCCTCACTCCCCAAGGGCTCCAGACCCAAAGGGAACTTGGTCCGCCTCAGTGCAGCCCGCTAAGGCTGAGCTAACGGAATGAGCTGACCCGAGCTGCAGAAGCAAAGTGGTCACCGCCTGGGGGCTCTTCCCAAGCTCGCCACCAGTGAGAATCCGCCTGAGGCCGCCTTGACTTCTGCGCCCGCCCTTCAGGAGCGCAGAAGCCTCAGAGCAGCCACGCTACTGCAGGCCAGGATCACGTGGGAACCTGCCGTAGTCCCGGGCCGGTCACGTGCCGCTATCCTAGGGGGCTGGGGGCGCTGGGGAGAATACCATAGAGACGGCTCTAGGGAAGCCAGAGTGCCGCCCGCCATCACGTGGCCCGGGCTTGCATTTCCGCGCCACAGGCCCTAAAGGCGGCCTGCAGGCGCTGGGAAACTGGCGGACATGGCCCCGCCCACCCGCTGCTCAGAGTTAAAGGAGAAGGTTGCAATTTCAGTACCAGCAAGGTACCTGTTTTCAGGGCTGCTCAGGTTTAGGAGTGTGTGCAGAAAAGGCTATTGTGGTAACTTTTCCTTCCGTTGGCCCTTATGGCAGTTCTAATCATTTAAAAAAATTAGTACATCTAAAGTGCTTTAAACTGTCGTTCACATAGAAAATTCTCAATAAATTGTTATTGCCAGGACCAAAAACATACACAGGGTGTAGCATATTCACCACTTAGCTTTAGAAAGTTGCAAATGTGTTTTTAAATTGTCTGATTTACATGTAATATTTGTTCATACAGAATTTAGTGTGGAAAATAAATTCTCATAAGAGAATGTCCCCTCATAAGAAGTTAGGAAAGCACAAAACCGATAAGGGACTATGCTTCATAGCTAAATTCTATTCATAATCTTTTTTTTTTTTTTTTGGTTTTTCGAGACAGGGTTTCTCTGTGGTTTTGAGGCCTGTCCTGGAACTAGCTCTTGTAGACCAGGCTGGTCTCGAACTCACAGAGATCCGCCTGCCTCTGCCTCCCAAGTGCTGGGATTAAAGGCGTGCGCCACCACCGCCCGGCTTTCTATTCATAATCTAAAGAAAAAATATTCTTCATCTTTCCCAAGATGTTCCTGAAAATTAATAAGAGAGGAATACTTCTAAATGCCCCTTGGCAATAATGGAAGTAGTTCATAAATTTTCTACTTATCAAAATATATTTGTGTGTGTGTGTGTGTGTGTATGTGTGTGTGTAATTTAGAAACAAAAATACCTATTCACAGCTGGGTGTTGGTGGCACACGCTTTTAATCCAGCAGTCGGAAGACAGGTAGATGGATCTTAGGACATTAGAGGCCAGCCTGGTCTACAACGCAAGTTCCGGGAAAGTCAGGGCTATACAAAGAAGCCCTGTTTTGAAAAACTAAACCAAAAAGACGAAAAAAACCAAACCAAAGCAAAAAAACTCCATTCACCCTATAAGGCGTTTGAGTATAAGACTTACTAATATATTATGAGCTTTTTCATTTTCCTTTCCAGATGTAATGACTATCCTGGATTTTGGTAAATCTCAGTTCACTCCTGTTTTTATCATATGTGTATCTAGTCCCAGAGTGATGCAATAGTTGGTTTTTATGGCTTACCTATGTGTATTCTATCTTGATTTGATTGAATTTACTTAACCTGAAGATTTATGTTCTTCATCAAATTATCATCACCCCATCACATTGTATGTACTGTAAACATATACAATATTGTGCTGATTGATTTTAATTGTCAGGTTGAAAAATGTAGAATCACCTGAGAGATTGCCTTCTGAGTAATAATCTCTGGGATTATTTTAACTATGTTAACCAAGATGAAATGATTGGCGCTTAAGTGGGTGGCACGGTTCCCTAGACGACATGTCATGAACTGTAGGAGTGAAGAAAGGGAGCCAAGCACTAGCATGTGTGCATCTGTTGTTCTCCCTTATGGCTGTGGATGGATGATGAGCATACTCTTGCTGCCATGGCTTCCCCACTATGACAGACTGACTATTCCATGAAACTCTGATCCAAACAAAATGAACAGACCCTTTCTCCCTTAAGTTGCTTTCGTCAGAGTATTTTATCTCCAGTCCAGAAAAGAAACTGAGACAGATGCCTTTCAACGAAAAAGAGAAATACGTTAGCTGTAAATAGGACGACTTTAGAGTACATATATTAAAAGTTTGGGGCATCTAAAGAGCAGCACACTAAATTTGTACTTTACAGATAGTAATCTGAGGAAGAGAGAAGTGAAAATAGTTGCTTATATTTCAACTACTGTTTGTAGGAAGAACAAATTCCAACCAAGCTCTCTTATACTCTCTTACTGTGAACACTGACTTATTGTTACAAAGAAAAAAATGACCTAAGGCAGAATGGCTCTTGGCCCAAAAGACCCAATGTACTCTCACTTTGAATGTCTGAGAGCCCTGAGGCATAAACTTGTAAGGACCTGAGAGGATCATTTAAGAAGAAACATTCTGTCAGTACGTGGTACATAGTATGAGATCGCATCTATGTCAAAGTGTTCTGAGGAAGTGATGAAAAGATGCCAATAGAAAGAACCCAACCTGTATTCATGTTTTCCATGGGAGAAAACACCTCAAGGAAACTGGTTAATTCTCATAAAGGATTCAGAGCTTTGGTTTTCCTAGAATCCCTGACATAGATAATGTAAGATCACGTGCTCATCTGAAAAAGAGTTCTTGCTGGTGAGATAGATGGACCTGTTATCCAGATGCTCAGGAGACTGATGAAGAAGGATCCTCGCCTGAGTGTCGTAGCATGACTTTTTCCTCTGGGAAGCTGGTGAAGCCTGGCATTTCGCCCTTGACTCGGTGTATACCCAAGAGCAGGAAGAGAGCTGAAATCAGGCATAGTTCCTCTCAGTCTCTTGGGCTTGTGCTCCTGGCTGTTACTGTGATGGCCAGAGCTCTCAGGTTGCTCAAGGTCCCCTGAGCACGTGCCTATGGGAACCATAGTAGCCCCTATCACCCTCCCAGTAAGGGGCACTGAGCATACATAGTGCAGTGGGGAGGGGATGGTGGAAATCTTATGGGCACCTGCATTTAGTCCTGGCCATGGCATGGGTCTGCATGCTGCTGGCCACGCTGCCTGTGTTACAGAGAAAGGCTGATCTGGTTTAGAAAAGCAGTATTTGCAATCCCTGCTGTGTTACAGCACACATACCCTACAGAGCAGGGTGCTAAGTGGGCTCCATTCACAATCACTCTTACTGACAGATTGGGTTTAGGCAGTTAATCCCTTAGCCAGTGCAATAGGCTCTCCAGGTTCCCACAGAGGGGGAGAATGCAGGAATTTCTGACCCATTCAATAGCCAGCTCACACAATAGCTCCTTGTTGAGATAACTTCTGGCTCCAGCACCCTGGTGGCTCACTGGGAGATGATGTAAGGTCCTTTCCCAAGGCAATTATTGTGCATTTTTCACACTGTTTGTAGAAGTGGGCTGCAATTTTGTGAGGACTTAGACACTGGGAGAGTTTACTGGGAGTCTGCCTCTTCCCTGCAAAGGGTAGTCTTCACTTCCTGCAGCTGTGAAGCTTGAGTACCAAATGTCAGGATGTTTTCTTTCTCTTTTTACGATTCCTTAGGTCTATGAATATTAGAAAGTTACGTCACCGTCTTGTTGACTTTCCCCATAGTCATTCATCTCAAAATGTGGCTACAGATCTTCGTTCTCCTTATGAAGGAAAAAGTCACTGCTGAGTACTTTAATTCATCCATCTTGATTTTCAAAGTTGAAACAGTTACTTTTTTTTGTCTCTTTGTCTGACTCCTCCAGAATTTGGAAGCTCTTACTGAATATAATTATGCTAATGGCAAGGTAACTTGGCATAAGAAGAGGCAACAAGAGTCTCTCTTCATTGTTACCTGGATCTAATTGAACAGTTGTTAGATTGTCAAGTTTTCAACTGCTATGTCAGGTTTGAGAACAAAATTCATTTAATTTGATAAGAGCATGCAGTTTTAGAGACTTAAGGTTGCCTTTCTGGGATCAATTTTTCGAAAGCTCTACTGAGAAAGTCAGAATGGTACCAAGCTTACAAGGCCCCCAAAATTTCAAGTATGTAAATAAAGTCACTCGCAGGTGGGTCCAACCAGCTGAGTATGTTTGGGGACTTTGAAAGAGATTTTTCTCAAATGTGTAAGTATTGTGGGGGAAATTTGTGTCAATGATTGTGCTATCTAGCATCCAGAAAGTTTCACGTTTCACCTGGGAACCCACATGAAGCCTGCTAGAAGAGGAAAAAGTGCTCTAATAAGGTCATTGCTGGGATTTTGTAAGCAAGAATAATGTTTCTTTGAGATTTTTTTTTATTAAAAAATGGAGGGAAGACTAAAGAGCTATTTTGTATTTCAATGGGAAATTGCTCATTGTGTCATTTCGGTTGTCAAAAATTGAGCATTGTTTATTTTCTGAGTCACCTGGAAACTCTGGGACTGTAAGAACTGGAAAGCACAGTGCACGCGTGTCCTTTAGGCCCAGGGATAATGAGCTCTCCCATCCCTAGTTTGAAAAAACACTTGCAGTTCATCTTAGTGGTCCTTTAATGATACAAATCTGAGGTTTGACTTTGCCTTAGAAACAACTGTAACATGTGAAGTTTTCTTAATGAATGAGGAAAAAAGTTACATGTGTGTGCAGGTGTGTGGCCAGAAGTCAACCCCAGGTGTCATTCCTCAGAAGCCTGAGACTAAACTTCTAATGGCAACTGCGAATCGCTGGCTTGAGCCTCTGGAATCTGCCTATTTCTACCTCCTCAGTGTTGGGAGAATAAGCATGCACTATTGTGCCTAGTGTTTTTAGGTGTGTGTTGGGGGATTGAACTCATGTCTTATTTCTTGCATTGAATTCACCTGATTGAATGAGCTATCTTCCCAGCCCCAATATATATTTTAAATTTTTCTTTTCTTTTTGAGGTAGAATGTGGTGTGTTCAAGGCTGGCCCTGAACTCACCATAGAGCCAAAGATGACACTGAACTTCTAATCTTTTTGCCTCCAACTCCTGAGTGTCAGCAATATAGGCATGTGCCGCCACACCAGTTGTATGAACTGCTAGGGCTTGAATCCAGGACTTTGTGCATGCTAGGCAGCTACTACCAACTGAGGTATGTTCTAAGCCAGACTTGATCATTTTGTATCTGTGTTAGATTCATGTTTTATCTATTCTGAAAGATTGGATAAATAAGTTTTAGAATTGTTGTGAAATGGTCAAAATTTAATTTCTTATATATTTTCGGGCCATTTCTATTCTG